CCCCAAAACCCCAAAACCCCAAAACCCCAAAACCCCAAAACCCCTTCTAGTCTGATTAAGGTTGAATAAATAATAACTCGCTGCTTTTTCTTTGTTTCTTAAAGTATTTTAAACACGCTTATCCTTCATCTATCCATTTATTCAGCAAGCTATTGCTTATTTCTCATCCAAAATTAGCTGTTAAAAGACCCAAAAGCTGTCTCAGTCATCCTTTGGATTTGGCTTTTAATCCTGGCAGAATATCTACAGAAAATTGGTAAATCGGTAAACTCTGGAACTCTTTGAGCATAAAATAACTTCTCCAGCCATAATATAGCGGGAAAGCGACAACCTGAAGCCTTCAAAGGTGATAACTAGTCTGGTAATCTTGGAATGGTTCCAGCCGCTTCATCCTTCATTTGAAGCTTTATGAACCACTTCTCCAGTTCACCTAAATTTGACTATTTAAGCACCAAATTTTCCATGAAATTTAATAATAATTAAATTTGAAGAAGGCTTATGGGTAACTATAAAGAAAAAATCCGATTAGTGCTTTCAGAACAGAACGAAAATAATAAGTTGAAAAGGATCAGTATCGAGACACCTGAATATATCCCTTATGTAGGCCATCCGTCTAATGATGTAGTACCGTTGCATCCTGTACTCCTTACTTAAGAAGTTGTGCCAGCAAGGTTTTGGAGTCGAATCGACCAACATTCTTAAGAAATCGGAAGTCAAAAAGATTATGTTTAATGTCATTAAAAGATTCTACAATTGAAAGTAAGTTATTGAGATTTTCCTCCTCTTAGATTTTATAGAATGATCACAAAAGCCCAGAAAGACGTAATTAAAGCAGATCGGTAGGAATTGGGGCTAACTTTGTAGCAAGAACAAAGGTTCTGGGTCTTTGGAGTACCTCCTCATTGACGTGATCGAAACAATTGAAATTTGCAAGAAGGTATAGTATATCCTGAGTAATCTTTCTAGGTGAACAACGGAGTTTATGGTAAGAATTTTGGAATGAAGCAAGGCTAAAAAGTATCTTACTAGGCTGAATAGCCTAGCTATATCTCTCAGTGACTAAAATTTTACTTCAAATTTGCATTTTAGTCTAGAAGAACTTATCTCATTTTTTATCTAGAATTTGACAAGAAAATGATTAAAAGACTTACAACAGTTTTTAATGAGGAAGACAAAGCAGATATTCTTAAAGCCCTCGATGGCCTTCTTAAGGATCTCTCTAGTATAAAGAAGACAGCTTCAATGAAGCTCCTGTAATTGCGTTATATACTGCTTATGGGGCTCTTTTACTAGAATAGACACTTTAAGAAAATTTTGGCAAAAATTCAATTAGTGTTTATATTATCGGGGTTTTGGGGTTTTGGGGTTTTGGGG